AATATTTATAAAATCATGAAACATCATTATTATTAACAATTTATTTTATCACAATAGAGCAATGCTTATAAAATAATGAAATATCATTTTGTCAAATTTGCATTTGTTGTTTGATTATATATATATAATATTTACAACCTATTTTGAGCGAAAAAATAGCCAAAAAAAGTTAACTGAATATTTCATGGATTTAAAGTTTCTTTTGATTATGATTATGATTGTGATTCTCTATGATAACTGAAAAGAAAGCAAAAAACTGTTAAAAATAGGAATTTGTTAACAAATATTAAAATAAATTGTTATTTTACTATAGATTTAGATACTAGGAACAGAGTGATATGCAAATATCATAAAGTGTATACCAGTACGATTATATGAAATATGTGAGGGATAGACCTGTTTAACTTTTTGGTAAGCTATATTTTTTTTTGTTTTAGAAAGTATTATGATTATTAATTTTTTTCTGTTTAGGGTATAGTTTGATGATGGTAGAGTTATGTATATACGAAAATCCACCTTATCATTTTTGGTTGATCATATCTGAGTGCAGATAAAATTATGAATTATGATGATAAATTTATTTGTGTAGTCTTATTAATTACATAAGAGATCCAGTTTGAGGGTATAACGAATATAAATCAATTGACTAATTTAAGATATGTTATTAACTTCTTATTTGAGTTTTTATTTGTATTGATAATCTATATTTAGCTAATTTCTTATTAATTAGATATGGTGTTTTTAAAGTTATTGTCTGTGAAATGATATGAAGTTGTTAGATTTGAATTTATTTATCAGAAAGCATTAAGGTTTTTAGATTTTTTTTGTGATTTTTAGTTTTTTTAAACTAACAAGACCAGCACGAACGAATTTTAAACTTATTACAGGGTCAGAAATCATCTAATTTCTTGGAGGATGGCATTTATGATTTAATCTGATTATATATTAATATTAATTGAATTTAATTGCTTAATATTTGAATCATGTGAGTTGATGGTATAGCTTCTTAGTAATCAGAAATCTTCTGATTTCTGTTCCTCCCCTTAAGTGATCATACTGGTCCTGTGTATCATCACATGTTACGCAGCTAGCCTATGGTGTGCATTCGCAAAATCTTAAGTTTAATTGGATTTTGAGAGTAGCGAAGCATGGGTATGAATGCATATCGAGATCTTCACATGTAAGGGTATCCGGCTTAACCTGTCACAGATTACGGATGTGCATGTAGTGACACGAGCGAAACGGCTTGTCGATGGGATATGTCGTGTAATCTACGAACAGCTTAGTCGATAAGAGGTGGTTAGATTTGGCGAGTGGTATATTTTATGATCGTAGGTATTATAATACAATGAAACAAAAGTTATTAGGAACAAGTTTATGATGAGCGCTAACTGAACTGTTCTTCTAGGGCTCGAAGCCTTTATTATATATTTTCGTTTACATAGGGCATGTTATACACTCTATCCATGATATAGCACTTATACGTGTTATCCTGCATATACTAATTATAGCGTTTATGTCACTAATACTGATTATATTGTTCATACTGATTATTATTATTATACACTGTACCCCACTGATCCCCCTTATTATACTGATATCTATTACCAACTGGATACAGCAAATACAGCGTATACAGCCATACTGCCGGGAAACCCATTTTCGGCAGGTGATCGACATAGCCACTTATTCATTACTGCTTTAACGAGCTTCCAGCACCACCACCCTACCGCTCACAGTAGCTACCCTAATTTATCAAATTGGCTAGCTAAAATGGTTAAGTATAAACAATAACGTATAACGTATATTAATATGTAACAAACACAGTCATTAAAAAAAAAAACTTTTCTGTTGTTATATAAATTATACGTATAGACAATTTTCCTAATTTTCCAATGTTTGCAAGAGAATCGGCACTAAAGATACCAAATTCAGTTTTTATTGACCGCGTTAAAGAATCGTATTTAGATAGGGAGGATATACTTGATCTCTTAGAAAAGCATATCAAGTATAATTTAATAAAAGTATGATTCCGAAACTGTTATATTATAGGAGTGCTGTCAAGGGAAAATGCACATTCAACTTTGGATTATATTTTGTGCCAGACATGATTTATCTAATTTATTAGGGTTGTTCCCAATACAAAATATAATTGAAAATCCGTAATTCCTTATCTCCTGACAGCACTCATTTTCTGTAATTTGCAATATGTATAAAATGCAATATGCTATGTTTTTTAATAGATTGGAGACAAGTATTATAGGTATTGTACTGGTATTTCACATGGGTCAGTTATATCGATATTGCTTTGTAGGTTCGTATTGATAATTGGTTTCTTTTCTTGATATTTATATATTAATGACTTATAATCGTTTAATACATGGCTTTTATTATAGTGAAATGGAATGAGAAGTTCTTCCTTTTGTGAAGCATGATGATGGTGTAAGTGAATATATCGATTTTGGGAAGTGCTTTCTTTTGTGAAGCATGATGATAGCATAAGTAAATATATCGATTTCAAAGGGTTAGTGTTCTTGGCTAAAAATTGAATTTATAGCTCATGCTACGGTTTCTTGACGATTTTCTATACATAAGTACAGACAAAGAAAAAGTTGAAAGATTTGTAACCGCAATGCATAAAGGTAATAATTGTGATATGTATATGTATTTTGAATAAGGTGAAATTTTATTGAATACATATGTATTTTATTTTAGGTCATCCAAAATATATGTGTGTTGTTAACAAAGAAAAGAGCCTAGCAAACTTCGATATTATTGTTGATGGGAAGCCGACAGAGAAATTGAGTAATACATATGGTAAATCAAATATTTGCTGATCAAGTAATTTTAACAGATTTTTAATTTAATTGAAAAGATTTCCATGGTGTGGAATCTTAATTCATACAACTATACTGAATTGTAAAGTTGATTATATGCGATCTTGATATGTTTAGAATGCTTTTTTATATTACTTCTGCATTTGTTGATTTAGTAACAAAAATTGCAGTAATAATAACATTTGTAAGTACACGTACCCATATTCTGCTTCCTGAATATTTATTTGTCTTTATGATTTTAGTCACGACTGTTCAATTAAAAGTGCTTCGAAAATATAAGTTCACGAATAAATGATATGGAAGAAAGAAGAATTCAGCTCTTTGAGTCATATTCATTCGAAATAATAGGATTAAGTAAAAAAACTATCTTTTAAGAAAGAATATGTTGAGCAATAGCATGGTTTAAGAAACGACATATTGTTTGCTTTGCTTAAAGTAATTAATTTTAAAAAATTTTATTTTTATATAAATATTTGTTTAGTTAATATCAAAAGCAACTTTTGAATTTATAAGTTTTTTTTTTTAATAGTTTATAATAGTCAAGTCTTACTCTAGAAATATAATTAAATGGTGATTGAAATTAGTGGCTTAACCTGTCACAGATTACAGACATGTGCAGGACCAGTACGATCATGTAATGTGTAAATTCAAAAGTTATATATTGGTACTGATAAGTTTTTTTGCTAACTTCAACTCTAATTTAATATAATTCTAAAATAACCAGAATTACTTTGTCAATGTTAGAGAAGTGGAATTAATTATTACATATATAGAACATATTTTTTTATATATTTTAGTTTAAATTTTGTTGTTATATGTTTGAACATCATTTTTTTTGTTAGATTGTTTTTGTGTTGATAAGACAACTTCTATAACTACTTGTAATGAGTTTGTTTTGGCAAGTTGTGTGATTGAACATGCGTACAATCTTTATGCTTTAACAGAGCAGAAGGCTCAGTGCTTTGGGAATGGTAGTTTGTTTGTTCCACAAAAATATACAATCTAGTTATATCTTTAATAATATAGTTTTCTTAGGGGCAATCATTGTCTTTTAAAGCAGGCCTAGGATCCGATTGTTACCTCCCTATAATTTATTTTATTTTCTTATCTTTAAAATTTTACAATAACATTTTATTAATTTATATTTCAATTATGCAAATATCTTTAATTATTTTAAATTTACAATTTTATTTTTTAGTATTTTTTAAATTTAAAATACAAAGTTAATCTACTATCTAAAATAACTAAGTTTATATAAAAATTATATAAGTTTATATTTATTTTTGTTTTTTTAAAGCTTACAAAAAATATTAAGCAAATGTTTTATTTTATACAAATGCTAATGTTCTATTCTAATAAAAATCTAAGCATTCAAAAAATAAAAAAAAATTTTGAAATTTGAATTGAAAAAAAAATTTAAAATTCAAATACTCTAATTAATTATTCATAAATATTACTAAGAATCAAAATTCGGTTTTATAATCAAGCCGAGTTAAAACCGGTTTTAAACCGATATGCCAAACTGGTTCCAATTTCTAGGTTATCGTTAAACTTAAATTGGTTAATCGATAAATTATTTAATATTGATATAGCGAAAATCGAATATCAATTTTAATTAACTTGTTTATTAAAGGCGGTTCAACTCAAAATTAAGGTTGTCGTTAGTGTTAATAATGGATAAATTATTTAATGTTGATTAACAATCGAAATATATTACCTTTATACCATGCAATTTTAATTTACCTGTTAAACCGTTAATCAGAACTATATAAAGATAACATTAATAACAGATAAATTAATATTGACATCGATGTATGTAGTAACCAGACCCAGGTACTATAGTAATCAAAAAGTTGGCTAAGTTAACAACTTATCAATTTAAAAATTTTGAAGCAACTAATCGATAAATTATTATTCAAACTTTGCCTATTCGGATCACTAATTTAATAAACTTTTATAAAATTTAAGGTGGTCAAAGTCAATTAGATTACAACTAATATTGTGAAAAATTGTATAAAATACAAGAAATAAAAATTTTCGCTCATTTTTATTCAATGATATTCGTACCATTTACCATTCCTTTTAAACTAATTATTTTATTATATTTCCATTCTGCTATTTATATTCTACTGCATTTAATAATATAAAATGAAAGAAATAAAAATGGAAGAAGTTTGTGAGGTTGTACGATCACAAAAAGGATGCGACAAAATAGATGTCCATGGGCATCTAATGGTCAAGGTCATAAATAGAAGAAATCGGTATTACTAGTGCTGCGAATACAGAAAGTCGAAGAAATGTAAAGGTTCCGCAACGGTTTTAATTAAGAACTTGCATTATCTACAAGATTTAGTCCAACATAATCACTTGCCTGATGCAACCCATCCAGAAGTCATAAAAGCTGTAACTGAACTTAAAAAACGTGCATCTGAAACCAGAAAAAAGCCCGTACAACTTATTCAAAATTATAGTATCTCTGATGATATTCAACCATTTATGCCGTCACTTAATGCTCTTTGTCAAATAGTTTCTTATTCTAAAAAATAGAGAAAATACCACAAACACAAAATGTTCTAGAAATTAATATCCCACCTTCATTGCATGTTACTTTAAATGATGATCCTTTTCTAATCCAAGACCTCATAGTTGACCAAAGTAGAATTCTCATATTTTTCTACAAATGAAAACATCAAACGTTTATCTGAAGCCCCCTATTTGATTATAGATGGTACGTTTAAAACAGTTCCAGATGTTTTTTATCAACTTTACACCATCCATGTGCCGGTCGGTCCTGAAGAAAACTCCAGAATTTTGCCATTAGTATATGCTCTCTTGACAAACAAATCTGAAGAAATATATAGGTACGTACATATATATGTATATATATGTACGTTAGTATTCTCCAGAAGTTTATTAATATTATACAAAAAATATGTAAATTTAGTAATATATTAAATTAAGTTTTTTTCATGTAACCATGATAAACTTTTGGAGGATACTGTAACAGGTAACATACGTACATATGTATGTACATAATTTTTTTTATCAGGTGATCTTAACTAAACCAAAATAATTTAAAAAAATATTACCACTAAATATAGGCATCTATTCAACGAATTATCTGAATTTGCCAGTTAAATAAACATCCATTTAGCTCCAAAATGGATAATTACTGATTTTGAAAGAGCAGCCATTAATGCATCACGTTGCGAGTTTCCTCATGCGGTGAATAAAGGATGCTTTTTTCACTTATGCCAAAGCGGATTGCGTAAGATTCAGGAACATAGTTTAACCACTTTATATGGAAGGGATCTATGTTTCAGCCGTATGATTCAGCATTTATTTGCCTTGGCATTCTTACCATCAGACCAAATTCCTGATGCTTTTGATATTTTAAAAGTGAGTATGCCTTCTGAAGCAAAGGATGTGACTGAATGGTTTGAAAAAAATTACATTGGAAGACGACGTCAGCAGCAAAATGAAGCCCCAATCTCCCATGACCTACCCTTATTTAAACCACAGTTTTGGTCTGTTTACGAATCAGTAGAGCTGGGCATTCCACGAACGCAAAACTCCATGGAAGGCTGGCATAATAGGTGGAATATATTAGTTGGAAGTTCACATGTAAGTTTATATACGTTGATAAATGAGTTGCAAAAAGAGCAAAAAAATGTTGATGTTCAGGTTAAGCACATTTTTATGGGAGAACAAAGACCCAAGCCTACTAAATCTTATATTGAAAAAGAGAGAAGGATCCTGGCGATTTTTAATGATCATGAAAATCGATCATTGATGGATTATTTACATAATATCGCAGATAATCTTTCTTCATATCTTTCTTTGTAATGCTAAATTTTATTTATTTTTTATTTATTTATTTATTTATTTTTATTTTATAATAAATTTGATTCTTCTATCATATAACATCATTGCAATAGGTGCAAAAAAGTATAAATTACAGATAAATTATTTTATTTGAATTTGTATTCGTAAAGTTTTTTATATAGTTATATTTTATTTTAGTTATTTAGATAATATGAAACACGAAAAAAGAAACTAAATTTTGGATGAATTCAGAACCAAGATACTAAAACACACACATATTGGAAGCAATAAAATCTTGGAGAAATAATCTGGCCCTATAAAAAAATTTCGAAAACGTATCCCAACTTTCTCCAGATTATCGTTCAATTATTGTATCCCGAAAATGCTCATTTTTTGTATATAAATTCTTGGCTATTTCTATAGAATCTTGATAAATTCCAGGTAAAAACCAAATCCAGATAAGATTCAGCTTCTAATTATAATAAGGTATAAAAAGATTAGAAGCCAAATCTTACTCGGATTTTGATTTCTACCGAAAATTACCAGGATTCTATGAAAGTAACTAGGAATTTGTATATGTTTTTGCTTTAAAAAATGAGCATTTTCTAGAACAATAATTAGATTGGCCAGCACATAAAGTTTAAAAATCAACCAAGAACTAGGATTTCATCTCTTTTGTCAAGATTAAAAAATGGCAAAGGTCATCTATTGTATTATCCAAGAATGCAAATGGATGTATTGAGCGATGGGATTTTAGAGGGTTAACCATTTCAGAGAATAAGGAGGGTATTGGAATTGAAATGATATTATCACGGACTTTAACGATAGGGACGATCATTCATTGTACTGTAAAAAACATAGATAACAGCAAGTAATGCAAAGGAGAGATAAATTATTAATTTGAGAATGTTTATATTTAAAGAAAAAACTTGATGGCATTATCACAATAAGTAAATCTTACGAAGGTAAAACTAATCATAATGTAAGTCACATGTATTTATACAATACCAAACTATTAACCGTAACAAATTTTCTGATTTCAGGCCTAAATAATTTACGTTTAAAATATATCCATTAATGAAGACAATCAATATTTTACTATCAAATCTAACACTAGATCCTATAAAAGATTTTCGAACAACGTATCCTGACTACAGTTGCTGTCCAAACTATTTGGGACGGCCCAAACCATGTGATAATTGGCATCACATATGGTTTTAACCTGGTCTTAACTATTTGTGATGCTAATCATCACATGATTTGGGCCATCCCAAATAGTTTGGATGGCACTATAATCCCGACTTTCTCCAGACTATCATTCCATTATCGTTCTAAGGATGTTCAATTTTCAGAACAAAACATATACATATTTCTAGTCATTTCTATAGAATCCCTAATCTTTTTATACTTCGTTATAATTAGAAGCCGAATCTTATCAGGATTTGGTTTTTACCTGGAATTTATCAAGATTCTATAGAAATGGCCAGGAATTTATATATGATAATACCATCACTAGTACTCGACAAAATCAAGCAAAAACTTGATGCCCAAATACTAGATTAGGTTAAATAATCATATATCAAATCAGTTATACGTATATACAAATTTATAATAATAGTCACTATTATTATTGACATATATGTATATAACTGATTTGATTATTTGATGTTGTTGAGCGCTACCACTCACTTAATAATTCTTCACAAGATTTTAATAATTGGTTTGGCAAACTAGTTTAATTTATTTAGCTATCATTAATTTGTTATTTCTTCACAGTTTGCCAGTGCTATTTACAATGGCGATACCCTCTATCAGGATTTGACCATAAGGTTTGAAATCTAGTTGCAACATTAATAAATTATTATGTTTCATATGTTAAAAGTTATATATATTTGCCAGTAACATGATATGCCACTTCCACAACCAACATATTCTTTAATACGCGTATCTGAAAATTTTTTAAATGATATCCATATTGTGAAAACTAGGCGAATATGGAACTACTGGAGCAAGAGTAATACCAAATAATAATCCAAAAAGTTGGAAATTTAATCATAGTTCTTATCCAAGCGATCATATTACTATAATTTAATAATCAATCTCAACAAGGTATAAAAAAAAAAAATTTTTATATAGTTGCTTTGTCTGGCTGCCAAGTCATAAGTCATATAGTGCTTAATCTCGAAATTAGTGTGACTTTTGATTTTGAAAGAAATCGATTCTGAAATTAGCAATGTGAAAAAATTTTCAAATATTTATGTTACGACTCGATTTATAAATTAGGTACAGGGATGGTTTGACCAACCACCATTTACAGTAACATCTGCGTATTATAGGTTAGTATATCAATAAGCCATCCTTTTTTTCAATTACAATTTCGTAAATCGGAGTATTAATTGTTTATTTATTCAAATGGATTACATTTTCCAGTTTTTATCTGGTAAGCTTTAACTAGTCAAAATGCGAAGTTGCGACCAAAGCCCTTTTAGTGCTATTGATTAGGTGGTAGTTTAAGATATATAATGTTGCTAAACTGTGATGCTTAGATCGCATTTCTAGATGGAATAAATGAGTGCCGCCAAGGAAAAACCTGTCATCGAACTTTTAATTATGGTTTGTATACAATTAGCTGTCTATGAGAAATCTATCATAATTATATATTTTTCATAGATGGCTAACTGTATACAAACCATAATTGAAAATCCGAAGTCAGGTTTTCCCTTGGCGGCACTCAAATGTGATACTTTTTATTTTATTTTATTTATCTTATTTTTATTTTTATTTTATTTTTTTAATGAATTAATATTGGGTTGTTTAAAGAAATGGTTGTCTGTACTGTGTATTGCAATAATCAAGGAATTCAATTCAGGTTAATCATCTGCTTAAGTTCTCAAATAACCCTTTATTTTCATCTATCATGGATATGTTTGCATAATTACTTGTTTATATAGTCTTATTTGTAGGGATGTTATGTGATCTGGTCTTAGACTAATAGACTACGGTTAGTCTTAAGACCAGTCTAAACTCGAAAAAAATTGGTCTGCTCTAAGTCTTAAGACCAGACCAGTCAGGACCAGTTTGGACCAGTTTGGATTAACAAAGTCTTAAGAATGAAGACTATAATAGACCAGACCAGACCTGAACCAAAACAGACCAGACTGTTAACATCCCTACTTATTTACAACCAATCTACTTTATTTAAACCAAACCTAACTACACTAGCTTTTTGGTGTGTGTAATGGCAATTTATAATTATTCAGAATAATCTACTTATTAGTACCAATAAATTATTTGTGTATTATATTCAGAAATGAATAATACATTCAAGTTTTTATGATAAGAAAGAAAATATTGTAATGGTTATGAAGATCAGCCATGCGAAGTTCTTCATTATATTAAAATTGTAATGTAATTTTACGTTAATAATGTATTGGCTCATGATTATTGCACCAATATTATTAAATATATTACTATTATTTTCGGATATATAATTGGCAATGCAACATGAGCTCCTGAAGCAATTTTCCACAAGAACATTCTAGCCAGTCTAGCTGGCATTATTCCAATTATTTATGTGATATTGCATGATCCCCAATAAGGTTAAATCGTATGATTTTATTTGATTAGTTAATTGCTTGCCTTGGCTGCCTTATAAATCGCTTATGAAACTGTTTATTAAACCGCATAATAATTATAACCTATTATTGTACATATTTAATTGGTCAATTGATTTTCTTAGCTGTAAATTACTTATATAAGTGATTATGAAGCCGTATAATATTTATACGTAACCATTATATGTATCACAATTTCACTTAATTTCCAGAGCAGAGCAGAGGAACTTAAGTCCAGACAATAGGTGAAAAAAAATTCCAGGTGGGTTCCAGGTGTAGGATAAGAGCATAAGCAAAAAAAATTCTCAATCATTCAATTGATCAGTATTAAAATTGTTAATTCTATAGTACTGTACTGTAGTATATGACATATCGCACTATAAATTTAACTTTATTTACCGTTACTTAAAAGTATATGACATACTTTAAATTTAAGTTTTATATATGATGCAGTATAATAAATTCTAATCGCTCATAATAAAATAAATTCGTGATAGCGGTTTAATTATAGAAATAAATGCCATATATGAGTTTAGTGCAATAATAAATCAAAACTTTGAGTACTTTACTTTTGAGAAATTTCAACATAATAAAAAATGCTCAAGGATACAAGAACAAATACTTGAAGAAAAGTGACTAAGTGACTTATAGATATAAGCCCGATTTTTAATTAATTTCGCATTTAATATAGACATTCAGTTTTAGAAGTTTTATATATACTTTTTTAATTATGTATTTTTTTGTGGTGTCCTATAAACTGATTTGAAATGTAGATGTAATGAGAACTACTTAAATTTTTGTGATCTAATAAGTAAGATCAATTTTTTATATAAATTATATAATTACATTATCGATTTTACAGTGTTAAAACAGTTTATCTTTCATTGGACAGATATATAAAGATAAGTATATAATTGTTATATGCTTATACTATAAGAATTTTTATTAATATCTTGCAAATAATTAGGTTTGTTTACAAATACAAAGCGGCATTCCGGAACCCAACAGATCCTGTTTTTCTAGTTTTAGTAATCACAACATCCTCATCAAAAATTTTCACCCATATACATAGTCTGAATTGTTGCAGTTTCGGGAATTGTTAGTATTGGGAAACAGCAGAGACAGTGCCCGATCCAAAGTGAATCCCCCTCGCCAGTGATCAATCACAAATTAAATTATTTACATTGGATTCAGTTGTGATAGATATAATCCCTCACCAGTTTTAATTAACAGTCTCTGCTGTAGTGTTGGGAATTTGTTTTGTTGGGATTCTATTGGTATCGGATTTCAACCATGTTGGGAATTTGTTATTGTCGGGATTCTATTAGTGTCAGGAATTGTTGGTGTTGGGATTCTGTTAATGTTAGGATTTAGTTAATGTCAGGATTCTGATAGTGTTGGGATTCAGTTGGTGTCAGGATTTTGGCAGTATTGGGAATTGGTTAGTGTCAGGATTTTGATAGTGTCGGGATTTTAATGCTGTCGGGATTTTGTTAGTGTTGGAATTTTGTTAATGTCGGGATTTTGTTAATGTCTGGATTTTGAAAATGTTGAGATTTTGGTAGTATCGTGATTTTAATGCAGTCGGAATTTTGGTGGTATTGGGATTTTGAATATTGGGATTTTAATGTTGTCAGGATTTTGTTAGTGTTGGGATTATAATTCTGTTGGGATTTTGAATGTTGGGATTTTAATGCTGTTGGGATTTTAATTTGTCAGGATTTTGTAGTGTTGGGATTTTAATCTTATTGTGATTTTGTTAGTGTTGGGATTTTGTTAGTGTTGGGATTTTGAATGTCAAGATTTTGATACAGTTGGGATTTTGAAAATGTCAGGATTTTGAATATCGGAATTTTGAATGTTGGGATTTTAATTCTGTTGAGATTTTAAAAGTGTTGGGATTTTGAAAGTTGGGATTTTGAATGTCGGGATTTTAATTCTGTTGGGATTTTGAAAATGTCGGGATTTTGAATGTCAGGATTCTAAATGTCGGGATTTTAATGCTGTCGGGATTTTAATTTGTTGGGATTTTGTGTTTTGGGATTTTGTTGTCAGGATTTTAAGCATTGGGATTTTGAGTGTCGGGATTCTGTAGTATAACCAAATACTGTGACAGATAGGTAATTCTAAAGGGAAGTTTTCAAAATTTAAAGTGTATACAGGGTTGTAAATATTGTAGAGATAAAGATAAGATATGACAGATTGTAATGCCTATGTGTAAGTTGGTCTACAAGATTATTGTACTGATTGTTCTGATGGGCAGTAACTTTGTAAAAAATAATATGGATGTTGTATAATTTAACAAAGTTAATAAGTGTATTCTATAATGAAAAGTATGCTGTATATGTATAAAGTAGAGTATGAGTTGAGTTTGAAAGACTCTAATATTTAGAGATTACAGACTATGAATCAGTATATATGTATATAGTACAATTTCTGGAAGCAGTAATAAGGACTATTAAGATAACAGTAAGCTTAGCTTTAAATGAGCAAGGCCAGTATCTTATTTGGGCTTAAAAGATATGCAAAATATTGTTGTTTAAAATTTGGGCCTATTTGATGCCCATAGAGCATTGTAAGATACTCAGATTGATGACAAAGCCATCTGTATAAAAATGAAGTTCTGATAGTTGTACATTGTAGTTGGCAATTTGTTGAAGGTTGTTTGTTAAAGTACTGGGTTCAAATATTGTTAGAATTTAATGTTGATATTAGGGGGGTTAGAGATTTGAATAGAATGTCAAATTGCAATAGGGTATATAAGGTCAAGATGGTTGGCATTGAAGTTAAGGATTTTGTTGTATATATTAACTTGACCAAAAAATCTAGAAGAGAGATTGATAGAAATTTAATATATTAATTATATTATTTTTTTGTAATTTAGTTTTTAGAAAGTTCAGTTCAAATAATTGTTAAAAAAAATGTTTAAAATATTAATTTATTTACATTTATTATTATTATTATTATTTTTTTAAATATTAAGGTGAGTACTTGTAATTCAAGATTTTATTGATAGTATATTTGGTTAATGGTTGCATTATAACTACAAAAAGCAACTATAGAAAGAGTGTACAACTAGCTACTTATACAACTTTAGCTATAGTTTAATTTAAGTAGTCTGTTTAAAGTTTTATATTAGCTGTTATATCTGAAATCTACTTGTAAATTTTCTATTGTAAGCCTAATTTTTAGAGCTACAGATGTCTATATTATAGTGATGATTCTGACTAGATTTAAAATCATATAGATGTAACAAAAATGTCACTTATATTATTTATATTGTTTCTGTTACTTTGTCTACATATAAGTTAAATGTAATATTAGCTTTTATTAGATTTAGTAAGAATATAGAAAATAAAAAATATATTGCATTTATAACAGAAATTAATTACAAATGTAAACAAAATGTTTATTATAAATAAAGAACATTATTGCTTTGGAAAAGAATAATTTTTGTCTTTCTAACAATAAAATTTTC